TTCCGTAATTTAGAAACAACCATGCATTCGACAGCTAAGAAAATTAGAAAGAAGGTGGTAAGCACATAGTGGAGGTGGGTTGGGCACATGGTGGAGGTGGGTTGGGCACATGGTGGAGGTGGGTTGGGCACATGGTGGAGGTGGGTTGCGCACATGGTGGAGGTGGGTTGCGCAAATGGTGGAGGTGGGTTGGGCACATGGTGGAGGTGGATTGGGCTCATGGTGGAGGTGGGTTGGGCACATGGTGGAGGTGGGTTGGGCACATGGTGGAGGTGGGTTGGGCACATGGTGCAGGTGGGTTGGGCACATGGTGGAGGTGGGTTGGGCACATGGTGGAGGTGGGTTGGGCACATGGTGGAGGTGGGTTGGGCACATGCTGGAGGTGGGTTGGGCACATGCTGGAGGTGGGTTGGGCACATGGTGGAGGTGGGTTGGGCACATGCTGGAGGTGGGACGCGCCATCCACAAAAGTGAGGGGCTGCTTCCGTCGATCTTCCCTACCCTCACTGTTGTCGCCCACCTACCGTACCATTTTCCCACAACCCCATCCATCTATTCAGCAGTCACAAGGCCAGAATTTTGATTCCGTCAGTGGAGAGGCTCGCTGAAATAGGTCACCATTTCACCACGCTCTGTGCTCTTCCAGTTCTCAGCCTTCATCCTCCCTGCCTGCCATGCCTTCCCTTTCTTCCCTGCCCACCATCGCCTTCCATCACCTCTCCTTCTCTGCAAGCACTATCCAGCAGGTGCAAGGCCAACTCCACCACTCCCACGAGCTCACATGCTTTGGCAGGACCAGCGGGAATAAGAGTGGCAATAGCAGTGGCAAGGTGGGTGAAGCAATGAATGGGACAAGCACTAGTAGAGACAGCAGCTGAGGTGAAAGACAGGTCCGCACCGCAGTATGCTGAGTGGATGTGTGGCTAAGTCGATGCTACAAACTCCCTTACATTTCCCATGCTCTGGATGGCACGTCTTCTCGTCCCTTTTGTATCATGTGCGTGTTGGCATTGTCAAGCATCTGCCTCACACATTGCTGGGGCTGGAACCAATTGCTGTGTATGTGTTTTGGCTTCCACCCTTAATACCGCTGAGTGCATTTTATTCCTTTGCTCCATATCTCCCCCGCTGTTCACTTCTCTTCTCGAAGTATGCAGGTTCAATGAGGATGACCGAGTGTGTACCCAGAGAGAGATTCCTCCCCCTACCCACCTGACACGCCTTTATGCCAGGGAGCCTGATGCATCCATGTCATCCACGGGTCCATGGCTAGTCTACACATACACGCCTTCATGCATGTGTCCCCATGGAAGAGTACAATTCAGTGCGGTTGGGTGAGATGGGTTGCGCAGCAGAGTGGTTTGAATGCACTCTGAAGGTTGGGAGCGATAATTGGCTCATCATGGCCAAACAATGGACTTCAGATGAATTACAGATTGGCATATAGGTTCTCTTTTGTCTATTTATGTGACTCCCCCGAGCATCCCATCAAGAATCTCAAGCTCGTCCTCCATACTGCGCTGAGGTCCCGAACCTTGCCTTCGAACCTCTTTATCAATCTTGAGCAGCCTCGAATCCTTTGTCGACGCCTGAACTTCACAGAAATCCCTTCGCATTGCACCCAAATGCGCGACAACTTCAATCATATGCGGTCGTGATGAGGCAAGGAGCGATGTGCATTGTAGAGCAAGCTCCGTCACCTTGAGTAGCAGCTCATCAGGTATCGAATCAAGATTAGGGTCTTTAAGAGCTTCTATGTCGTCCGCTTGGACAAGTTTGTCGACCTGGAAAGGTGGACAAGTAGGGATCATTAATGCTTACTATGGGCGAGGCAGGCAAGCAGCTGTGTAGTACTTTGTGAAATTGCAGTGACGAACGAGAATGGAGAATAGAGAGCAAAACATGAGAGAACTCACAGTGAAGATTTTTTGCAAGAAGGATGATTAAGACATGACTAGCGATTCACCGACATGCGTATGAGGATAGACACCAACGATGTACTTGACTCATATATTTTATTTGCACTTACCCAGTCTCGGATGTTGATTCCACCATTCTCTTGGATCACAACAGGCTTGGTCAGCATGATCCTAAGCATCATCACGCCGAAGCTGTAGCAGCAGGGGGGGCGGATGAAAAAAAAAGGGGAAAAGAAAAAGAAGCACGCTCTGTGGCAAGTACCTCGTGAAAAAGAATGCAACCATAGGTGACAAAGGAAGAGCATAGCATGTCACATGGAAGTGATAATGTGGGGCGGTTAACTATGTTCATCAGTGCAATCGGCCATGGGAGAGTCATTCATTCAATTCAACCCAACCCACCTATAAATATCAGCCATGGGCGTGGCCTTGTTGGTGCGCGAGTAAGCGGGGTCCACATAACCCGGAGTGCCGACCACTCTTGTGGGATTCACTGTGGTGCCCTCTGTCATGCGCACCAACCCAAAGTCTGATATTTTTGCCTGTAGATGAAGGGAGGAGAGATGAAAAACACAAGTTGTTGATGCCATGGCAGGGGGCAGTAGGATGTAGGCAGGAGCTGTCTTAGATTATAGCTGTGTTAGATGATAGCTGTGTTTGATGATAGCTGTGTTTGATGAGACTCATGCGCACCAGCCCAAATTCCAACAGCGTTGGCTGTGATACTAGGCACCTTTGCATGGAGGCTGGAGCAAAGTGGGAAAAAAGAGAACGGTGGTTTTGTGTGTTATGGCCCCATTCACGAGGCCAAAGCTCGAATGCTATCTGTTGTGTACAAATAGCTCGCAAGTGGCTCCCCAACCGCACTACGCCGCACTCACCCAGCCGGCCCCTTAGTCCCATTTTTCACCTGCATGCGGAATTCAAGCAGTTGGCGAGCTTGATGTCTCCAACCCCACGCCTTCACCACAACCGCACCACACAACACTCAACCATCAAATAAACTCCACCTCCTCCCCAGTACCTGCATGTTAGCATCAAGCAACACGTTGGCGGGCTTGATGTCTCGATGCACGATGTCAAATTGGTGGAGGTACTCCAACCCCCGCGCCACCCCCACCAGCACATCCATGCGCTGCTGCAGCGTCAACTTGCCCTTTTTGGATCCTGCATGGGGACATGATGGGGTGGTTTGTAGCATCAACAGAAAGAAAACCTCTTCAAAGATATCCATGCTTTGAGACGTCTCACAAGGAAACACCGTTCTCTCACAATGCAAAAGAAGAGAAACAGTAAGGGGCATCCACTGCAAAGAGTGTTCCAACTAGGAATCGTAAGAACTTGCGTTGAAGTTTATGATACAAATAAAGGCGCTCAACACTCTTAATCTCTTCAAGAATGGAAAAAAAAAAAACGTGTGTGATTTTAGCGCGTATAGAACGTACGAGATGCTATCACCCAAATGCCTTTTGATTTTTATCGCATGCGGGCTTTACGGAACCTCAAGGTGGCGAAACCATGTCGCATGTGCGAGGACGAACCAATGAGAAGAAGTGAAACTTGCAACCCAACATCACAACACTTGGCCTTTAGCAGGGCCAATGTAATGCTCACTTGAAAACGACAGTCTACATTTGGCAGGACGAGCGCCGAGTGCTTTGAAACCGCCCTTTGTGGTTTCAGGTTTCGGAATTTCGTGAACAAAATTCCCTGCATTTTGAATTCACCTTGCCAAATTGTTGTTTCGTCGAACCCGAAACCAGTCAAATGTACACTGACGCTTTAAGAAACTTCTCTCACCTCTAGTAAGGTACTTCTCAAGGTCTCCGTTTGGGCAAAACTCATAGATGACGATCTGCTCGTGGTGGTCTGTTGCCCTGTCAATGTCCACACAGTACCCCAGCAGCCGCACCAAGTGCAGATGGCTCTTTGATGCCATCTCCTCCACCTGGCAGGGGAATGAAGGGACGAGAAATGTCAGACGTGGATTCGTGACAATGATTTTTTATGGCTCTTTGACGCCATCTCGTCCACCTGCTCAAGACGGGGAAAGTTAGCAGGAACACAAATGAGGGCGATGAATGTGCGTGAATGAGAGCCTCTGATGGCTCTTTGATGCCATCTCCTCCACCTGCAATGGAATCAAGAAGATGAAGGAATGCGGAAAGTGCTGCGAATGAGCACTGAGATTGCGCTGAAGGCATAAGGTATTCGACGAAATCTCATCCACCTGCACGGGAATCAAGGGGACGAGGAAATGCAACAAGGAGTCGACTCTTTTAAAACAAGTAGACATGGGCAAACAACTCTTTTATAACTTAAGTTTGACATGTGACACGATTCATCTTCTTCTTGCCTAGACGCCCAACACACCTCTCTTTTGAAGTCATTCGTGAGTATCTTGGCGCGTTTCACAGCCCACACAACTAAGGGATCTTCCGGACACACCCCACGATACACCTCGCCATGCCCCCCCGACCCAATATGGTTTGCCTCTGCCCAGTTGTCCGTTGCCTTGACTACCACTTCTAAGGGGTATCGCTGGCACATGAGTGATTGGGTTGGCACCGATGATTCTCCAACGCCTGTGGGGAGGCTTGATGGCTCACGTGCTGGCAATGGGTGTGCATGCATGGAGGCAACCAAGCATATGAGCATGGGGCATGGGTGGGCATGAGCAACCATGCTTAAGGGAGCAACTGGGTGACTGATTTCACTCCCTCCTTCCATGCTCCACCGCCTGTGGGGTGGCTTGATGGCTCACGTGCTGGCAATGGGTGGGCACGGTAGGATAGGAATCAAGCATACCGTGGTGTGAAAAACTTCTAAGAAATATGAAAAGTGACTCACGTGTTGAGCATAGGCTATGGGGATTGAGTTAAAGCTCGCGTCTCAAGACTCATATTTACAAGCGTTTAACACTTGGTTGGTTACGCACGTCCGTAATTGGATTCTCCAGCTCGTCACAGATTTCGTCAATCGCCAACCAGTCACGGAGGCCCAAACCCAACCAAATGTTAAAACGGAGAAAATATGAGACGCGAGCTTTAAAGACATGGAAATCCGTGCTGAAAGGAACAACTACGATGCCTTGGTCACAGTTGCAAAGGAGAAGCACTGCCACATGAGGGCCAAGCTCGGCATGGCTGACCACTCCCGCCCCCTCTCCCCCTTTCCACTCTTTTTTACAGTCATTTCTGGAAAACGAGGGATAGGAACACGAGGTGGAAGGGTTGAGTTCAGTGCGCATGCTTGCATCCTATGACTTCTGAGAATGAATCTTGGGATCCTGTCAAAAACAAAAAGGCAAACATACACGTGCCTTTGAGGTTGCGGAATACAGCAACTTTTGAAGCGCCTCTAAAAGGCAAAAATGCCATGAATTACCTTATATGCGGAACAAGCAAAACTACGCAGCTCCCAAAGAACACGAGCCTTCAAGAGGAGAGACAACTTCTAGCAGAAGGAAAGTAATGTTCTTGTAAATGTAGCTGTAGCTGTAGATGTAACTGTAGCACACATGTTCACAGAAACATCAACAGGAGGTAGAGATGAGCATCCGGCCCGGCCCGGCCCGACCCGACCCGACCCGACCCGACATGGGCGGGCCACACGAGCTCCCGGGTCTGGTCGGGTCAGGCCAAACTCGGGCCAGGGTGCTGAAGGTTCTGGCCCGACCCGGGCCTACACACTCGAGTCAACTTGGACCCCGTTACAGGTCGGGTCGGGCCGGGCCAGGATGACCCGCCCAGGATGGCCCCTAAGAACCTCTACGAAATGGTTCAATGTTAGCTGCTGGCGCACCTATGAGCAACTGCTAGCCTAAAACGAGGCGTGCAGCCTGTGAATTGAAGTATCGCTAGTAAAACGCGATGTTGTAAAAAAACGCCATTCCTGCATCGCGATTTTCCGTGTACAGCAGGATACGATAGTAAACTAGCTATAAAGTCTGTCAATGAGGTTTGAACAGGTGGTAACCAAGTAGCTTTTAAGCTTAGGTGACTTGCTTGCTGCCATTAGGCAAGATTGAGAGCGTGGGTAGGTTCTGATGTCGAGACGACAACAATTTGACCTAGGGTTTCGTCCCCAGTGTGTCGAAATCGGGTCGGGCCAAAAGCCCGGTTTCGTCCCTGGTCTTGACCCGAATTCGGGTCGGGTCAAGCCTGACCCGAAACCCGACCCGACTCGGCCCGAGTTCCATGCTCGGATCGGATTTTAGACCGGGTCGGGTCGGGTTGGCCCGCACGGGGCAGGCACATGAAACCACTGACCTGAACCGGGCTAAACCACGGGTCGGGTCGGGCCGGCAAATGCTCATCTCTAACAGGAGGATTGTGGTGTGGGGGACAGACGGAAACAAAGGTGAATAGAGGATATTCATGGCAATTAGGCTACCAGCCAGAACTTCACCTTGGGGAGACCTTCGCTTCCAGAGCAGAAACAGGCCAATAACGAGGAGGACAAAAACGAGTACGCCTCCAACAGCAATGCCAATGATCGCCCCTAGAGGCAGGGCGGACGAGGAGGAGGAGGAAGATGTATCTGTGGGGGGAAGAGGAGGAGTGCTATTGGCAGGCGGAGGAGGGGAGGGGCTAGCAGCAGGGGAGCCAGAGGAAGGGGCAGAGCTGTTGGAGCAGGAGGAGCAGAAGTCGGGGCAGTTGATGCAGAAGTGCGAGGAGGGGGTCTGGTACACAACACACGGCTGGCCTGCTCCTGGGCACACCATGCCACTCTCGTTGAGCCCTCTGGGGGGTGGGGGAAGGGAAGGAGGGAGACAGGGGAGGAAAGAAGCATCGATCAACGGAAGCGGGTGGGGTGCAGAACTAAGAGGAGAAGTTCTGCCACACCACACACGGCTGCCCGGCCCCTGAGCACACCGTTCCGCTCTCGTTGAGCTCACTGAGTAACCGAGGCAGGGAAGGACAGGGTGAGATGGGGAGAGGGATGGAGGGGGTCTGCCACACCACACACGGCTGCCTGGCTCCTGAGCACACCGTTCCGCTCTCGTTGAACTCACTGGGGGACAGGGGAGAGGGGTGAGGGGGAGGGGGGGGGAGGGGGAGGGGGAAAAGGTAGCGTTCACTTACACCCTCCCTTACACTCACACCCCCACCTTACACTCACCCACTCTCTACCCTACACTCATGACCCCCTTACGCTCACACCACCTTCTCACACCTCCCATTACAATCACCCCCCTTTTACACTCACAGCGCCGTGAGGAGCAGGAGATTCCCGAGGGTGGGTGGAACGATGCCGGAGAGAGCATTGGTGGCGAAGCCTCTGGAGGGAGGTGGTGGGTGGCAGGTGATGGCAATAGGCATGGTGGGTGGTGATGGGACGGCAAAGGGGCATTTTGAGTGACATTAGAGAGCATCGGCGGCGATGCAGGGAGGTGGAGGGTGGTGGCAATAGTGCATGGCGGGAGGCAGGTGATGGGATGGCAATGAGGCATTAGGAGTGACATTGGAGAGCATTGGTGGCGAAACCCCTGCAGGGAGGTGGGGGGTGGTACTGTAATGCGTCGCATTACACTACCAACGTGGGATGGTACTGGCAATAAACCCGGGGAGTTTGAAGTAGGTATTAGTATTATTATGAAGTAACTCGAACAAGTTCGCACATTTACCCTAAACTCCATCAAAAGTTTGCACCTTTTCTAGAATATTCAAGGCAAGTAAAGAAAGGAGAATCCCGGAACCGTACAGGTATGTGAGATTTGTGAGGCTTCCGAATTGGGAGGGAATTTCTCCAGAAAACTGGTTATTGTCAAAGTTCCTGCACAACGGGGCAACATTCGCACTTTAAATGAATCTTTCGGTATTATGGGAATCTCTCCAAAAAAACTGTTTATTGCCAAAGTGCCTGCAACAGGGGAAGGAGGTTGGAGTGGAGATAATGTGACATATTGTCGTACTTCCCTCGCAACAGTACTCTAATAACAAGAAGCTCCTACTTCACGGGAGTCACTGTGGAGAACTCTAAAAAATGCATAAAGTAGCCTTTATTCCGCAACAAGGCTTGCGATGGAAATGTTAACCTACACTTGCTTAAATTCAGCAGCCATTATTTCTAATAGGCCTGTCAATTTTGATTCGGACGATCTAATGGCGGCTCAGGAAACCAACCTCTCAGTGAACTCAACATGCCATCACAGCACAATCTTAAGATTGTGCAGCAAGTACCGTAAGAAGATGCCATACGATCTTGACCATAAGGCACGTGAAATGAGAGCGTTTTTAAATGTCTCAAAAGAAGCGTAAGATGTGATAAGTGCATGATCGTAAGGTGCCTCAAGAAACGTAATGTACCATCAAAGCGGAACATACAGCACGTCGAGTTTGGTGAGGGTGGCGAAGAATGAAGGGATGGTGCCACGGAACATGTTTCGGGCGAAGTCCCTGAGGTTATGGGATGGTGGGAGGCGTGGTGGGAGGGGAGGGATGGTGGGAGGGATGGTGGAGGGGTGGATGGTGGGAGGGATGGCGGGAGGGATGGATGGTGGGAGGGATGGCTTTTGAATTGACAAAGGAAGGCATGGTGAGACAACGGAAGTCACTGGGGAGGAGGCAGAGACAATGGAAGGGATTGTGAGAGACCCTCTCAAGGAAGTAGTGGTGAGCGACTTTCCTGAGAACCACACCACACCACACCGCACCACACCGCACTGCATAACATCACACAACACAGACACCACACCACACCGCACGGCACTGCACTGCACCACACCATAACAATCTGCAGGCATACATGTAAGAGAGTTTTTTTAGCAAGGAGAGGGTTTCTGGGATGCTTCCCGTGAAATGGTTGTATTGAAGCACACTAATGGAGCGAAATGATAGGTGTGGTGGGGTATGAAGGGGTGTAAGGGGGTATGAAGGGGAGCGATGGGGTATGAACGGGAGGGTGGGGTACGCGGAAAAGTGGGACAGAGAAGTGTTTTATGAAAACAAGTCTAGCACGGGGAGCAGAAATGAGTCTTTGAGTTCATGGCCTGTGTTTCAAGCTCATAATGGAGTAGCAGCAAACCTGAAGTAAACGTTTAAGCAACAAAGGAACGCTTTTGAGTTTGTGGCCTTCATTTTTGCATGGACGTCTTTTCAAGTCGTGTGACGATTCTTGCATGGGGAGCAACGTTGACAAGAATCCTAGAGTCACATTCTGCTATTGAGGCATCTACTTTTGAGACGCCCCACAGTAATACTATAGTCAGATTCTGCTACTGAGGCGAGGCGCCTCAGAAGTTAGCTTCTTACACGGTCTGCAAGTAGGTGAGCCTGCCAAACTCCACAGGGATAAAACCTGAAAACATGTTGTAGGCAAGGTTGCTGCAGGGATGGAGAGGTTGAGAACAAAGAGCGAGAAGAGACTGAGAAGAAAGTGAAAAACCGCAGGTACAGAGGGAGCCAATGCAATGCAACCTGTAGGCATGGAATGGAACTTGAGATCTTGTTGTAAGCAAGGTTGCTGCAGGGAGGGGATAAGAGGGGGTAGAGAGAACAGAGAGAAGAGTGAGAGGAGAGAGAAGAGTGAGAAGAGTGAGAAGAGAGAGAATGCGCCTGAGATTACAAAGATGGAAAGAGATAGATTCTGTAGGCGAGGCGAATGCACCCTGGCACTCCCAGCGTAAGAAATAATCCCAATCTCCCAGCTGGGTGAATGAACCCAGCATTTAAGGCGCCTCAGAAGTCATCTATCTACCCGCAATAATCCCAATGTCCCAGCGTACGACACTGCTAGCTAATGGTCGCTACTGCTTACACAACCACCAAGCTGCTGAGGGCTGCCACTGCTGGAAGGATTTCCCCCTCGAATTTGTTGTTTCCACCTAGATTGCTGCGCCCGAGGGGGAGAACAGGAATGAGTCAATAAAGGTCAACACACGTCTACAGAGGTCAACAGAGGTCAATGCTGGTCAGCAGAGGCCAATAATGGTCAGCAGAGGTCAACGCAGAGGCAGCGGGGTCAATACCGGGCAGCAGAGGTCAACACAGGGCAGCAGCAAATGTCAACGCAAGTCCACACTGAATATTTTTCAACAGGTGAGCGAGACAGTGAAGGAACTACTCTATTGCTTATACGCTGCAGACGTATTCCTGGCATACAATGCTTGGAGCTTTCGAGAGGCGAGGGTAAGACCCTATTACTGACATACTCGTCAACAGCAGCTATTGCTTGCAGTGGAGGCTGTTGACTACTCTACTCTACTCCGACTTCTATTACGTATTTTTAGCATACAACGCTTGAAGATTCGAGAGGCGAGAGATGGATGAGGGAACCGATCCTTCGAAACTGTTGTAAAAGAGCGATCTGCACAAGCACAGGTCATGTCATGTCATGCCATGTCATGTCAGGCACAACAAGCCAGTCACAACACAAGCGAGCCAACCAAGCCAGTGACACGTAAGGCACATGTCGCTCACAATCACCCACATGTCCAGGGCTCAAAATGTCAGTCAGATGCAGCCCGCTTCGTACGGTCGGAACGGTTCTGTACCTTAAACTTTTAAATAAACTCTGGCCCATGAACTTGTTTCAGAACTCTGGCCACCCAAAAAATATGAAAAAGGCTGGATACCTTTGCGATGACGACCAGAAAGGGAAAGAGGGAAGAAAGGGCCAGCAAAGTTGTATCTAACCTGATAAATAAAGTCGCCTCACTGTGATCCCATAAATTGGCGCCCCTTGATTGAAGAGATTGTTAGCATAGGTGCATGGGTTGCTGAATCAAGTGTCGTCACCGTGGTCACATGGGTTGGTGCCTCCTTGGGTTCTACAAAAGAGATTGTCAGCATAGGTGACACGTACAGGAACGAGAGCTGAGTTAGTTTTGACACGCCAGTGGGGAAGCTTCCTGAGAATGCATTGTTCCCTAGGTCACTGATTGAGGGAGCAAGGGTGGTTTTGGTGCACGCAAGGGTTCCCAAGTCACAAATGTTGGTGAGGTGAGTGAAGTGGCTGGTTAATAATGAAAGTTGAAAGCAACGAAGGCTCTGGTATATGGTGGAGAGGAGAAGAGAAAATGTAGAACTGAAGTTATGTCTGTTGGGACAACTCGACGTCCACAACGAGGGAAGTGAGGCAAATCAACAATAAGTCTCATCTCTTGCTGTGTACTTCAATTCAAGGGTGGCTTCTTCCAGACACTCAAGGATGCTTGGTATTGGAATTTGGATTGAGCGTACTAGACAAGGCGGAAAGAAAGAGTGAAAGTGAGAGGGTGAGCGAAAGAGTTGGAAATGAGATGGAGGAGGGTGACGAACAGGAGAACCAGATTGGTGAGTGCACTCAAAGACAGGGGTACTGCTCCGCTCATTTTGTTGGAGTATAGATCACTGCGATGAAGGGAGGAGGATGTTGATGAGAGGAGGGGGAAAGACACGTGATATAAGTGAGTTATAAATCACTGGTCGAGAAAGTAAAGCAGAAATGAGTACAGGGTTTTAAGGCGGGATAAGGAGCCGATGGCGGGAGGCAAAGCGCCCTCAATGAAGTTGGATGAGAGGCCGCTGCGAGCGGGAGGGCAGAGGGAGGAAGAATGGGAGGAAGAGGGTCGGTGAGATTTGAGTTTCTTAGAGGTGCCTCAGAGGCCATTGGAAACAAGGCACCCTTTATTAAGTTGGATGCGAGGTCGCTGTGAGTGGGACAGGGAGAGGGAGAGGGAGGAGAGGGAGAGGAGGAGGAGGAGGAGATATGAGCTTTGAGTGTTTTGGAGGTGCCTCAGAGGCCGATGGTAGTACGAGGAAAGGCACACTGGCCAAGTTTGGATGAGAGGTCGCTGTGAGTGAGAGCGGGAGAGATGTCGAGAGGGAGGAGAAGGAGGGGGCAGGGAGGGAGGGGGGCAGGAAGGGAGGGAGGGAGGCAGGGAGGGAGGGAGGGAGGGAGGGAGGGAGGGAGGGAGGGAGGGAGGGAGGGAGGGAGGGAGAAGGGAGTGGGGCGGGGGGGGGGGGGGGAGGGAAAGAAGGAGGGAGACATGCGCACGGTCTCTAGAGATAACCATTTAGTGGCAGTGCAGGCAGCAGGAACGCGTGCAGGACTTGATGGTTCAAAAACTCATCATTCTAGTAAGTGCAGAAATGTGTGCAGCCTCATCACAACATAACAATTCAGTGGTGGTGCAGGCAGGAACGAGTACAGGACTTAAAAGGACTTTAAGGGTGGATAAAAAGGCGATGATAGATGAACGATTTATTATTTGAGACATCTCGAGCTGCATTTATTGTAACGCAATTTAGTGGCAGTGCAGAAAGGCGTACAGGCGTTGAAGATTGGATAAAGAACCGATGGTGGAAGGCAAGGCACCCTTTAGGTCGTTGTATGAGAGATCGCTGCGAGCAGGAGGAAGGGGAGGGAGAGACGGGGAGAGGGGAGAGATACGGTGGTGAAAGAGGGATGAGTTATAAGTTCCTCTAAGGTGCCTCAAGAGCCGATGGTGGAAGGCAAGGCACCCTCTCAGCCGTTGTATGAGAGATTGCTGCGAGCGGGAGAAGGGGGAGGGAGAGATGAGGAGAGGCGAGAGATGCGGTGGTGAGAGAGGGAGAGATGGGGAGAAACATGGGATAGAGGGAGAAAGAGGGAGGGGGATAGAGGAGGACCACACTTCATGGCTAGGTTCACTGGTTGTAAAAACTCAATATTTGTGTGTTGTTTGATACATTGAGTTGGACATGGGAGAAGGTTTAGCGAGCCTGGCAGGCTGTTCCATCCTTCGGCTCGTGACAGACCAGCCACTGACTGGCCATTGTATGCTGATTTGGTAGGTTCACCCCTGGCTCATCATTATTTGGTCACATGTTGGTCATTGCTCATGCAATGCTCATGCATTGCTCATGCATTGCGCATGCTCATCTGTGCACATGCCCATCTCTACATGCTCCCACTCATGTGTGCATGCTCCCACTCATACTCACAGATAGCTCAGCCTGTCCAAGGCACTGATGTAATCTGGAATGGACCCGGTTAAGCCTTTGTTAGACAGATGCCTGGTGGGCAGTGGAATGGAATGGTTGGGGAACATCATTAATCTTATGGTAGTGCTTAGAGCGCTTTCTTTCAATATGAGCCACACAAGCATATTGGAGGGAAACGGAGAACAGAAAGGGGGTTATTAAGTAGGTTAGACAGCATTAACACCTAGTATCACTTACAAATGTCTACCTTCCGTTTCAAATGGACCTTTCGGTTCTGCGGTGACATTTGGAAGGAGAGCATTCTCTGTCAATAAATGGCGAGGGAAGTGTGAATATCGTTCCCACACGCAGTCTTGCATGGGAAATCCGAGCATGTAGTAATCCCTCCAGCAAGCCCCCAGCACATTCAGTACGATCCTTTCCACATGTCTCATATACTCCACTACTGCCTCCCTCATTCCACACACACATTTTTGCTACTTCTTCCTTAACAAACTCCAACAGAACCTCCTTTCGTGCATGAACCTGCTGCAGTTACCTGTTGCCATGCCCCTCGGCATGCCAACTAGTTCTCCGACTTGGGATTGTTAGAACTACTAGAACTGTGCCTGTCCTTTTCTCTTTCTCTCCATCTACAGAACCCCGGTATCCGATTATTGAACTTGGAATATGTTCCTTAATCATGTTCGAGCATGAAAAAAAACTTTAAGATAACTTCATAAATGATTATAAGACATAACAATTCCAAAGGGTTCCAAAACCAGATGATGATTTTGGGTGAGAGGACAGTGGGATAAATTGTTCAAGAAGCGCTCACAAAAT